GCTAGCAGAAGCATAAAAAGGATTAATAGTGAATACAGAAAGCTTGTAGAGAACAGAGAAACACCAGTGGATAGATTCAATAAAGGAAGGTGGAGAGGAAGAAGAAACAAAGGATCCTGAAGAGGTTTATGAACAAATGCAAGCTCTGACATGAAACTGATGACAGGGATATAGGAACAAAAATAAACTAAAACAAAATTAGGAAGAATTAAGTCAGACAAACACAAATTTCATTTGATGCATCACACCGTTTGACAAATGAGCTTTAAAAAAGGACAGCGGCACGTAGGGCTGTAGCTAACGATTATTTTAGTAGTCGATTAATCTATCGATTATTCTGACGATTAATCGGATATAAAAAACTGTCATGTTCTGCAGTAATTATTTAAGCTTATGAGAAATACACTTATTTAATATTGTGAAGGGGTAATCTACACCTGCTGATGACCCTGCTGCAATCAAAGTAAAATTACAATACCAGTTGTATTAATTAATACATTTTAAACTCCATTTGTTTGTATTTATGTATGTAAGGTTTGAGGAGGCATTAATTAAAAACACTGTCATTGAATTATTTTTAACCATCACTAAAAAAATCTAAATGCTGTACATTCATTGTTATGGATTGGACAATTGAATGTCTTTTTTTGTTAGAAGTTTAATAAGTAAAATGGGTAAAATAAACATTTGGGTGTTTCAGTTGAGTTCTGTAGAGTTCACGTGTTAATTGTAAAAAAATATTTTTTAAACTGTTATTAGGTTGATGCAGGGCTCCCATTTAGGCAATAAAAGATTTAGTCTTGACTGCTTAGCTATAAACAAACATGACATGAAGGCTAAAATCATAAAAAGCAGCAGCAAATAATTAAAAAATACAACTATCTTCTATAAATACTTTTAAACTTGAAATATTTACTCCATGTATCATTTAAACTAAGATTAAAGAATATCAACTAATAAACATGTTTCAGCTCAAGCTGTCAATCTGTTGTTGTACTTTTATTTTTATCTGACAAGCGTACAGTAAGTCTTGTTTTTAATCACACATTTTACACACTGTTTAATAAAACCCTGCCAGGTCACAATGATTAGTCAGCACAAATAACATTAGCTTAAATATACCTCCTCCTTTTACATGTGTAACATGACAGATTATCACAGATTAAGGTAACCGTATTTTGCAAAGGGAACATGAACAATCCCTGTTATTAGCTCCGGACACGTTCGACACATGCAGCCACTGTTTTTGTTCCGGTGCAGAAACACCGAGGATGTGCACAGCATTGCGCGTTGTCGTCTTTTCTGTTTAGTTTTAAATGTTCCCATGCTTTTTATAATTTGTCGTTTTTGGGCGCTTCGTTCCGGCACTCTTCGTCTTTTTCTGAAACTAAATATAGCTCTTAGCAAGCACGCACGCGTGACGCGTCAACAGTAACTGTTAGCGGAAGCGCTAACATCGTAGCATTGTGTTAAACACAAATAACATTCCGGGCAGACGAAAGTGCGCTGATTCTAACAGTATGTATTTTTTACGAAGCTTCGAGGCAGATAAATTTGTCTCGAGGATTTTTTGTAATCGAATTACTCGAATTATTTGAGGAATCGTTATTCTAATTTTAAACCAATTAGAAGGAACAAAACAACAAAAACAGAAACACTTTTCTCTATAATATTTTTTCCTGTTAGCGGTGATGTCACAAAAATTTGATGTCTCAATGATATCATCGCCTACAGCAGACGGCAGCCTCTGTAGGGATTTAAATGCTTCAAGTCTCCAGTTACCAACATCGGTGTGTGTGCTGTTGTTTTTTACTTATCCAAGTGTTTGTGTATGTTCAAGTAGCCTGGCAGGAAGAAACTATTACAGAGTATTAATAGGAGCTTACATCAACTGTAAAAGCTTCATGATAAACAAAAGTTCACGTCAGGCTTGAGTAGGGCTGGGGGATAAATCGATGTAATCAATTAATTCGAATTTGCCATTTATAAAGATTTAATTTGGGGAAAATCGAGATTTTTTTCTCACCAGTGCACTCTTTGGGGTTTCTGTAGTTCAGAGGTCACCCCACCTGTCCCTCAAGATGCTTGGTACACGACATGACAATAAGGCAGCTAGCACAGAGGATCTACTTTACAAAAAAGACAGTGTTTCTTCAGTTTTCTAGAACTGGTTAGGTTTTGCAAACTCAGACTTGGAGCAATGAACACCTCACTGCAAAATCCGTTTGAAGGCTCTTGCTATAAGAAACAGGAGAACAACAAATTTGTTTGGACACCTGAAACAGAGGCACTCCATTAAGTGGGAAGCAAAATCGATTGAAATCGAAAATCGAATTTGGGATGAAAAAAATCTGAGAATTTTTTTTTTTTTGGGGGGGGGGGGGCATATCGCCCAGCCCTAGGCTTGAGTGTAGAATCAAATCTTAACCATCACACTAGTTCATAATGAAGTCAACATTTTATTATTTTAGAATAAAAAACTTCATAGTGACTTCATAACATTACACAAATAATGTCAAAGTTGTGGCAAGAAAGTCCATGTTGTTTTCCACATTTATTAAAAGAGGCCAGTTCACACGACAATTAGAACCAATTATCTAAAAAGGTCAAAGCAGTTCTGTTGCATGGACCTAAAACTGGCCATGCTTCTTGTTGAATAAAACAGTTCGAAACATGTGAAATTAAAAAACGTGCCACACACTTTTCATTTAAGCAGGTCCTGCATTAATCCTGGTGGAGTCTGCTTTGAATCTGTGTACTACTTATAACAAACTGATTCAACATTTGTCTGCAAACTCAGTACCTTGTAACCTTGTAAAATACAACACAGTGATTAATTGGTACAAGGTGAGTAAAACATTGAAAGAAGTATGAACAACACCAGCATACAGAGTTAGGTGTGTTGGCTATTTGTATTATTACAGTAACTAGTAATCTTTTGGTATCTACAACCCCTGGCAAAAAGTATGGAATCACCAGTCCTGGATGAGCACTCATTCAGACATTTTATTCTGTAAAATAAACTCAGATCAAAAGCATGATACAATTATAAGGTCATTCCAAAGTGCAACTTGTTGGCTTTCAGGAACACTCAAAGAAATGAAGAGAAAACATTGTGGAAGTCAGTGAATGTTACTTGTTTTGAGCAAGCACAGGGAAAAAATATTGAATCACTCAATTCTGAGGAAAAAAGTGTGGAATCACTCAAATTGGAGGTAGAAAATAAGGACACACCCAGTCAGTTTCCTTTCCCTAAATGGAAACCTGCCTCAGATTAGATCTGCTCGTTAGTCTGCAGTTAAAAACACCTGCAGTCATGACACCTTGGAGGGCTGCTGGACGAAGTGGAGTGGCAAGAACCATGGCTCCAACAAGAGAAATGTCTCTTTGTTGAAACAAAAGAGAGGATTGTGAAACTTCTTGAAGAAGGTAACTCTTCATGCATGGTTGCTAAAGATGTGAACTGTTCACAGTCAGCTGTATCCAAGATATGGACCAAATACAAACAACATGAAATGGTTCTTAAAGCCAAGCGTACTGGTAGACCAAGAAAGACATCAAAGCTTCAAGACAAACAACTTAAGGCCATTTTTCTTGAAAATAGAAAAAGTACAACTAAACAGATGAAGCATAAATGGGATGAAGCTGGAACCAATGTATGTGACTGAACTGTAAGAAATTGCCTAAAGGAAATGGGATTTCAATACAGGAAAGCTAAAAGAAAACCATCATTGACACCTAAACAAAAAAAGAACAAGACTGCAGTGGGCTAAAGAGAGGCAATCATGGACTGTGGATGACTGGATGAAAGTTATCTTCAGTGATGAGTCAAGAATCTGCATCGGACAAGGTGATGATGCTGGAACTTTTGTTTGGTGCCGTTCCAGTGAGATTTATGAAGAGGACTGCCTGAAGAAAACAACCACATTTCCACAGTCCTTGATGATATGGGGCTGAATGTCAGGCAAAGGCACTGGGGAGATGACTGTGGTTCATTCTTCTATCAATGCACAAGTTTTCATTGACATTTTGGACAGTTTTCTCATCCCTTCAAGTGAACAGATGTTTGGAAGTGATGAAATAAGTTTCCAAGATGACAATGCATCGTGCCATAGGGCAAAAACAGTGAAGGCATTCCTTGGAGAAAGACACATTCAGTCAATGTCATGGCCTGCAAATAGTCCAGATCTCAACCCAATTGAAAACCTGTGGTGGAAATTKGAAAAAWKGKYCMMMARRARGCTCCGACCTGSAAAGCTGATCTGGCAACTGCTATCAAAGAGAGTTGGCACCAAATTGATGATGAATACTGTTTGTCACTCATCAAGTCCATGCCTCAGACTGTAAGCCGTTATAAAAGCCAAAGGTGGTGCAATACTAGTGATGTATTTTGAATGGTCTTTTGTTTATCTGTTTTTCACGATTCCATACTTTTTTTCCTCAGAATTGAGTGATTCCATATATTCCCCCCCGTGCTTGGTCAATAAAAGTAACATTCACTGACTTCCACAATGTTTTCTCTTCATTTCTTTGAGTGTTCCTGAAAGCCAACAAGTTGCACTTTGGAATGACCTTATTATTGTATCATGTTTTTGATCCGAGTTTGTTTTACAGAATGAAATGTCTGAATGAGTGCTCATCCAAGACTGGTGATTCCATACTTTTTGCCAGGGGTTGTAGTTCATTACAACTGTAGCAATGAACAAATAAAATTTCACTGCTCATGAGTAAGTCACTTTGAAATGTGCTTTATAACCTAACATGACTTGCCTTAAACCTAAAGGATTGTATAAAACCAGAAGGATTCTCACCCTCTAGTATTTTTATTGCCTTTTTTTAAGTTTTATAAAAGCAACACTTAAAATTAGAAAATATCAAAATATGAAAAAAGAACCAGTAAACACTATCTTTAATAAAAAAGATGATCTTCCAAAAAATACAACTTTGCTTTGTTACTTTAGGTCTTAAGTAGTTTAAATTAGCAGGACAGCTCCTCTTACCTGATTTTCTTTTCCACAGGAAAGTGTTGTAAGGTGTGCTCAGTCCTCAGAAACTGTAATACATAAAGAAAGGAGACTTTGTTGCTGGAAAACTGTTTTCTTACATTTATACTGCTACAAGTTAAAAACAGAACAAAGGCACAAAGTGGAATTAAATTTAAAGCTAGCCAGAAGCTTTTGAAAGCTTTAAATCTTAAGACATTTATGCAAACATGAATGTAACGTATCATACAGTAAACTCAATGTCTCTTACTCCAAGTCGTCAGCTCTGTGTCTTTGATTCCCACCATTATCTTGTCTTTTCACAGTCACTGTGATTTTCTTCACTCTGCTCTGAGACCATTCCTTCTGGTTTGCTGACCTAACCCCTGCACTAACCAGTGACATGCTTTAACTATTGAATGGCTGACCTTGATTGGTTGGTTGGAGCAGCCAAAAGCACATGGCACCATGCAGTAACACTTAGCATACACACACATTTGACAATCATTCTAACCCCGAGAACTGTTAGTAAAGTCTGACTATATACACAGAAAACACCGTGAATTCTGCACACGTCTTCAAGTTCATTCATTAGTTATGGTTCACACAAAAAAGCCCTGAAAAATACTTCCACAGCTGAATGTATACCAAAAGTTAACAAATTTACTGCATTCAAACAGCTGTTTCAGATAATTGGTAAAATTAAATGTTATTTGTTAAGCAATCATATAGTGTAGATCCATTTATTGTTCTAAGTACATACAATCAAGTGTATATCATGCTACAATAATTTAATACATTTACACTACAATAAGTCTGTTGAATTAGTACATAATATTGATGCATTGCAACTCAAAGTTTATTCAATTCAATTAAAATTATTAGATCTACATTGAAAGTTCAGTTTATAATAAAAGAGTTACGGTCTCGTAGGAGTTCACTTACGTATGTAAAATATATATATAACTTATGTTGTTTGGAAACATGAATCTAGCTAAATGTCTTTCATGACTGTCAGAAGAAAGAAAATGATGTATATCTTTTGGTATGCTATGCATGTACTTCGGATCCTTTACTTTCATATCCAAATATGTTGTGGTGAGAATGATCAGTGGTCACACTTGTCCTTCTACAAATGATCAAACACAGTAGGCAATGCTGGATATTTGATACCCAACACGTGATGCCACCAGAGCTTTTATAGACATTATCCCAGTCAGATTCCAGTTCATGTTAAAAGGCGAGAAGGAAACAGGTTTTACCCATAAAATGACACACATCTCTTCAGCGATGGCATTCATCTCCAGTGTCCTCAGAAACACGAGTGACATGTTGATTCATTACATTTTTTGATGAGTGCAACCCAACATGGGCTCCACTGCATGCTGTGTGGCTTGTGGCCTATGATTAGTTACAATCAGTTCAGTGGGTCACACTGTTTGGCTCTGATCCTGCAACCTCACAAGGTTCAGACATATGACCCTCAAACCACAGGCTCACGTCATACACAGAATCTGAATATGTTTTATATTAGCAAGTAGACAGAATACACTTGCTATTATATTGGCAGTGCTATATATATAAGCCAGCATAAATAGCATTATGACTTTTAGATTTAGTTAGGTGGGAAAAAAGCACCTAAATAACAGTTTAAATGTCAGTGTTAATCTGGCAGAGTTGGTGCTTTTGCTTCTGAACCC